ATCGTGTTTACACACGGACAGACAGACTGACAGACAGACAGACACACAGACATATGGACAAGATTGCAAAATTATGTTTTTCCGTATCAGTGAGGTGTAAAACGTCGAGATTTGTAAAAATCTCGATTTTTTTTTTGCACGATTACAAGACTTTCCTCTATACTTCGTATATACGAGAAAGTAAAAATAACGTAAATTCAGAAGCACTTTATTTTTAATTTAAATTAAACTTAATTTAAAAAACAAATATGATTTAAAATAAAAGTGTAGTTATTAAAAGGAAAGGCGTACTAATTAAGACAAAAAAAATTATCAAAAGGGTACCATTCTTCTCCTCCTGTTCCCTTGAGGCTTATCATGCATTGGCACGGGTGATCTATGTTTCACTGATAAATACGTTTGATCAGAAACGTGTTGTGTTGCGGATAACTGAGGGAATGGAAAGAGGGTAATTAAATACTTTGGTGAATCGTATTAGTGAACCTAATGTTTAACACGCTGCAGAGGCGTAGCGACCCTTCCCTTTCAATTTGCACCCCCCCCAAACTGTCCATTTGCACTCCCCCCCCCCCTCAAACTTCCATTTGCACCCCCTCCATATATTGTTTATATTTATAATGCAAAACTGCAGCTAAAATGAGATTTTAATTTGTTTTTCCAACCCATTTTGGCACCCCCTGAGGTCGGCGCCCGGGAACATATATACCGCCCCCCCCCCCAGCTACGCCTCTGACACGCTGGCCAAGTATGAAAGTTACCAGCGTGAAAAATATAAACAGGTTGGGTAAATAATACCACCACTGTCCTTCATCCGCCTCAGCGAGGAACTAGGTCACCTAATTTGACTACACATACATTTTTGCTTCCGTGTTTTAGCCGGCAAATAAAATCAAGACAAAATATGTTTAATAATAAAGCAGAATGGAATAGTTGGCACCCTAGATCAGGGGTCTCCAAACTTTTCAGTCCGAGGGACGCATTAACTATGAAATTTCAGTTCGGGGGCCATTTTTTCCCAGGCATGTCTTTGATTTTTCTGGGAAAAGTTCCTCAGCAATCACCGACAAACGATTTTTCCTTGGACAAAAAGATCTCCGCGGGCCGGATGAGGGGACTTCGCGGGCCGCATCCGGCCCGCGGGCCGTAGTTTGGAGACCCCTGCCCTAGATCAAATAAACTGGCTCCACGTATTCTCTGCTTCAAGACACAGCCAGAAGAGCAGTCTAGACACAACACCGAATAGTAACAAAACACAAAAACTCACCGTTTCTCTGCACGATCAATCCCGCCATTATTTTTTCAGTACACAGATTTTATCATCTGGAATTATCTCAGCATGCGTCCGTTATTTTCTGTCGGTCAAGGTAAGCGGAATCAGGGTAGTACGAATAGCACCCAGGCCGTTCAGGGTAAGCGGAATGAGGGTAGTACGAATAGCACTCAGGTTAGTGTTGCCCACGTCTACTATTTACAATATTTTCACAGTCATATCATTTGTAGCAGAGACCCACTAGAGGGCACCCTTGTTGTCTTGCTACTTTTGCTACTAACTGCTCTAACTATGCAGTTTCATGCTCAGTGATTCAACGGGCCTCATTCCGTGTACCACGTTACATTTTAAGTACATTCTGTGAAAATAAACAAACATCCATTACATTAAAAATATTTTAAAGCGTAGTCCCAAATGTTTATATGTCAAATTATAGTATTTAATAAAACCAAACAGTAACATCATAATTTTTAAATCTAGCATTTAGTACTGTAACATTTAATATTAATTTGCATTAGTTACTTCCCATTTCTTAAATAATCAGGGGAAATTAAAATTTTTAATATCCAAAAAGCTGTAAAAAATTGGATTAAAAATAAATAAACACATATACTTAAATAGTTTCATATATTTTATTAAAAAATATAAGTTGTTTTTAACATATAAAAATGTATTAACATTTATTAACGTGTGAATTATAATTTAACTGTATTGTTTAGAAACAAACTTTTAACTCTATCCAATTCTGCTTAGCATAAATATTACTTTTCTCGTATAATTGATTCTCAATTTATCGCTGTTATCCCTCATGCATTATTTTTGTGGATGGGAAAAAAAATAACGGTTGCAATGGATTTAGTTTGCTGTTTGAAAGGGAATAATGTGCGATTTGTTGATGTGTCTCATTTTACTCCATAAATCACCTTGCTAATTATAATAATTTCGTTTAATTCTAAATTAAATTTAGCTCTAGTTCAGTGTTTCTTCCAGACTTTTTTCCCCGGGGGGCACTTGAAATCTTCGGGGGGGGGGGGGGGGGCGGTAAACTTTCTTCGGGGGGGCGGACACTGTTAAAAGTATATATTTTCTATATAAATTATATAAATTTCATTTCGTTCGGGGGGGGGGGGGGGGGCGGTAAAAATGTTTCGGGGGGGGGGGGGGGGGGGGGGGGGCAAAGCCCCCCGAAGAGATGCCTGGAAGAAACTCTGCTCTAGTTGTAAGCCAATACCCCAACCCAGGGGTCGGCAACCTTTTGAGAACGAAGAGCCAAAAAATTACAATTTACAAAATTTCAGTTTTTAAAGAGCCACCAACATTTTTATTTCAATATTATGACCTTATAATCTTTATTTATCATTTGATATATATATATATATATATATATATATATATATATATATATATATATATATATATATATATATATATATATATATATATATATATATATATATATATATATATATATATATATATATATATATATATATATATATATATATATATATATATATATATATATATATATATATCAATGTATGTGTGTGTGTGTGTGTGTGTGTGTGTGTGTGTTTGTTTTTCTTTTATGCATTACTACACCTTTTATCCGATCGCCATGAAACTTTGGGAAGTTGTTGAGAATACTCCTGGAAAGGTTTCTGAGAAAAAAGTTTTTCAAATTCGCAGAAGTGGCGCCCCGGCAGCGCGCTATTCTATTCTTCTCTATATACTGTATATAAAAATAAATGTCGATTGCGGTTCGACACCGTTCATCCGATCGTCATGAAACCTTAAATTAAGGAGTTCATTAAAATACTTCAGGGGAGGTTTGTACAAAAAAATCATTGTAAATTTTTTATAGGCGGCGCCCAGGTGATGCAGTTTTTTGTCAATACACCTTTTGGCGCCTAGAGTTCCAGAGCGGCTATGTTAGTATTTGGCATCCGTTAATCGGGCGTCCTGCATAGCGGGTAAGGGGTACTACTATGTTCAGCGGCAAAACTGCAACAGGCGCAACCATTGCCCAACACGAAGCACCCCGGACTCGCCTGTGACCAATATGGCACCTACGTCCGTTTTTAAAAATAGGCCATACACTTTAGACACGATGGACAAAAATACGTTCATTTTAAACAGCGCGATAGGCTATGGATTCAATGAGTTGCTTTAGTCGCTCACTAAATCGAATCAGGTGCGTCCTCCGGCTTATCTGCTGGGTGCGATTTAGCGCCCAGGGCTGGCCCGCGAGCAATAAGCGCCTACCTTAGTTTTAAGGAACACCCTACAATACGATATTCGATAATTAAACTGAGCTAGAGGCCGTACGTTGCGCCCCTGCCGTAGTGTAATCAGGTTCACGAGAGCGCCACTTTCCGTCCTCGACAGTTAGGCGGTGAGTTAGTAACGGAGATATTACGGTGAGTGATTAACTTACACTCAAGGCTTTCATACAGCATGCCATGGTGGTGGGCGGTAGTGTAAGAAACCAGTGCCCCGATAAATATGATCCAAACACGGGCATTGTTTACATTTAAATAACTCAGCTTTAGAAAACAATGAAGTACATTGAAATAGGGAGTAACTAAATATTCTAATAGAATAGCGAGTGTTTATTGTTTATATTTTTTATTATATCGTTCATTACCGAGTGTTGCAAACTAATACTTTAATGAGTATTAAAAATAAAATAAAATAATTATTAATAATAGTGCATCGAGCTGAAGAGCCGCATCTGCACATCAAAAGAGCCCCATGCGGCTCGCGAGCCGCAGGTTGCCGACCCCTGGACTATCCCAATCCACTTTAGAAGCTGTTAACTTTTTTCTTTCTTTACGGATATCACCGGCTCTGGAGGTGTCTGCCATTAGCCAGGGAGGCCTCAACACGGCTAACTTCCAGAGTTTCTTCCAGGCATCTATTCGGGGGAGGGGGGCAAAGCCCCCCCCCCCCCCCACCCTACCGAAAGAAATGAAATTTATATAATTTATATAGAAAATATATACTTTTAACAGTGTCCGCCCCCCCCCCCCCCCCGAAAATTTCAAGTGACCCCCCCCCCCCCCAGGAGAAAAAAGTCTGGAAGAAACACTGCCCAATAGTGAGACCAATTCGACCAAGATAGACCCAATAGTGAGACCAAGTGATGCTGAGTAACAAACTACCTTCCCATACAGTTTATACAGCCTTTAATTTATTCTGACTTGCATCCCGTATTTAATGTGACTTATGATTTTTAAGTGAACTTTGACCTAGATGTACACCTATTCTACAAAGCACTAAGTAGGCTTGCACTTGTTTTACCATATGTTTGAAGAGTTGTTGTCATTCCTTGACTTATACGTATTTGATAGAGGATAGCAATGAATCAAAAAATTCAGCATTCTTTTGCTTTATTTAAAGTAAGGAATGTTCTGTTGAAATTTTACAACTTATTTCTTAAAGTGAGATAACTCATTCAACTAACACTAGTGTTGATTTTTTGTTGCAAGGTATAAAACAAAAAAATTAAATTAGAAAATATACAAAAATAAAAACTATTGAGCTCAGACTTAACTAACAAATATTCAAGAATGGAAGATTTTAAAATGTGTAGGCATACATTTGTATCATGCCAGAAAGCACACAAAAAAAGACCATAGGCCAAAACAAACAACTGATTATGAGTTTTATTTTGCTGAAGTTTCAACTGATAAATCAGCAAGACAAGAATGTACACCTGAAGTCATGAGACACATCAACTGTTTAATAGCATTTCAAATTTCATTTCAACAAATTAAATGTTACATCACAGGCATATGGCATATTGACAGTAAAACATAAAAAGATGATTTTACACCTCATGTAATACTTAAAACAAAATCCTACAGGTTTTTTTAAAATATGACATATACATTGATGATATTTTTAAAAAAAAATGATCATTTATTAAAATTTTATAAAAATTGAATTGTTCCGTGATATGAAATACAACCATCACACATATACCAGCTAAAAAAACAAAGATAGCAACAAAAAAACATAAAGAATGCTGGAAGTTTTTACTATTACAAGGGGTTGGAGGCAGGCATTGTTATTGAAATAGCAATATAGACATACAACTTTTGACAGTTATTCACATGACAACATGTAGTATAGCTAGCACAAGGGACTAAAAGAAGCAGCTGCTAACTCAGGGAATGATCCAATGCTAGTAAACATAAAAGTTTGCACGCTTCCTATATGTCTGACATTTTTAAAACTAAAAATTGTCTCTTAAAACTCACCAGTCCCCATTTTATTTCAAATTACATTTAAGTTTGAAGGAAATAATTCCTAAAATTAATTCAACTAATGCAAGATGATCGATTTTTAAAATAACTAAACTAGATGGAGTGTTGCATTATTGTATTGTATTTCAAGATTTTTAAAAAAGTAATAAAGATTTGTCTTATAAAAATACTAAACATGGTGCTTTTCTTTAATTAAACACTCTTTTGTTAAAAAATGTATTTACTAAACGAAATACCTCCACAAACAATAATGAGAATGAAATCAAGTAATGTAGGACAAGTTATGACTGACAACTGTTGAACTATTTACAATCGATGAGGAAAGAAATGATAATATCAGTAAAACATAATGAAAATTTCTGAATAAAAAATAAATAACCAATGATCAGGAGAATCTACTTCCAATGAGAAGTAAAAAACAAAAGTTTTTAATGCCAAAACGAAATGCAGGAGTTTTCCAAAAAATGCTTTCATAAAACTTTCTCAGGGTATATACATCTCTAGCAACCCCAATCACAAAAAGTAAAGAACATTTTCAACATTTCTGTGTGTGGCAAGATTTTTAAAAGTCTCAATCAACAGAATTAGTGTGGTAAATATGAAATGTATTCAGACACCCATAGCATTACAATGTATACCTGTCATATGCAATGTATTCAGACACCCAAAACTTTACAATGTATACCTGTCATATGAAATGTATTCAGACACCCATAGCAATACAATGTATACCTGTCATATGAAATGTATTCAGACACCCATAGCAATACAATTTATACCTCCAGCTCATTTCACCAAAGTGGTTTAGCATCATCTATCATGTTGAATTCTGTGTATAAATGCAAGACCCACTTCCAACATGTAAAAAAATGCATTAACTTTCAAAATACATTTTACGATTCATACATCCAAAGTTTGTATCGAACAAACTGAACATGTTTTGGTGAAGCTGGATGCATTAGACAAACATAACGAGCAAATCTTGATGAGTTATAAAAAATTGCGCACATGGGATTTTACAGGTGGGTTTAGTTGACAAGTTTTTGTTATTTACACACTGAGTCATGCTGGGAACCACTTTATGCTGATCCTAATCATACAGCTCCCCAAGGTTTGGGTAAATGTCGTACGACACCCTAAAACAATTCCTGCCAGTGTCAGTCTGAGATCCATCGCGGCCCAGTTTATATTTGTGAAAGCTGCCATCCAGACATATTGCTGAAAGGTAACAAGTTTTTAGCATATAGTCATATGTAAAACTAACCTTTTAAGTATGCACATTAATAATTACAAAAGTATACTGTCATTAAAATATGGTACCGTACATAACATTAACATACAGAGCATCAACATACTAAACATAGTCCCTGGGACTAATATACTAGTAATTATTATTGTCAGTATATAACACCCACATACCATTCACAGCATCAACATACCACATAATATACACAGCAAAAAATACCATAGACAAACCATATAGGACCAACATACCATTGAAAATATCAACATACTATAAATAGCATCAACATACTGTATAATACTAACATAACATACATAGCACCAAGAACTATACATAGCATCAGTGTACCTCATATAGTTACATAGAACTAACATACTTTATGAAACCCAAACATATCCTGATATACCACCAACATACTACCTACCATATAGAACCTACACAGTATGTGAAGTATCAACATAATCTACACTGCATCAATGTACCTCATAGAATCAACACATTATATGAAACATCGACATACAACATACTATAGTTGACATCAACGTACCACATAACATCAACACAATATGTGCAACATCAACATACAACATACTATAGTAGACATTAACATACCACTTAACATCAACATAATATGTCCAACATCAACATACAACATACTATAGTAGACATTAATATACCACTTAACATCAACATAATATATGCAACATCAACATACTATAGTAGACATTAACATACCACTTAACATCAACATAATATATGCAACATCAACATACAACATACTATAGTAGACATTAACATACCACATAACATCAACATAATATGTGCAACATCAACATACAGCATACTATAGTAGACATTAACATACCACTTAACATCAACATAATATATGCAACATCAACATACAACATACTATAGTAGACATTAACATACCACATAACATCAACATAATATGTGCAACATCAACATACAACATACTATAGTAGACATTAACATACCACTTAACATCAACATAATATATGCAACATCAACATACAACATACTATAGTAGACATTAACATACCACATAACATCAACATAATATGTGCAACATCAACATACAACATACTATAGTAGACATTAACATATCACTTAACATCAACATAATATATGCAACATCAACATAATATGTGGAACATCAACATACTATAGCAGACATCAATGTACCACATAACACCAACATAATATGTGCAACATCAACATACCGTACATAGCATCCCCTGCACCAAAAGAACACAGGCATGCACATTCAGCTGTCACAGTAAATGAAGCGTACGACTTGATTTCGTTAGGAAGACCCACCAAAGGCTTTAATCTAAAGTCAAGTGAAAGTTTTAAGGAGTTTTTAAAATCTGATAAAAAACATTTACGTTTTAGGAATAAAAATATATCAAGAGAATAATTAGTGATAAAAACTCAAACATCATACACAATTTTTGAATTTCAGCATATGCTCTGGGATGGACTAAATGTAAAACTAACAAAAGAATTGTATCATCTTACAAAAAGATTGTTATCTAGTTAAGGTTACAGTGCAGTACACATGAATAAAAATGTCATGTTAACTAGTTAAGTTTAGTGGTCGTAGTATACAGTTTGCCTTACGTGGAGACTGGGTTCATATCTGGGTCCTTTAGTGACCAGACGTGGACGGTGCCTTTGTCACTGGAACATGACAAATAACTGCCGTCTTTGCTGAAGTTTAGACTGAGGAGAGAAAGCAATTTGTTTGTCTACATACAAACAATTTCTTTGTCTACAAGCAATTTGTTTGTCTACAAGCAATTTGTTTGTTTACATACAAATAATTTGTTTGTCTACATACAAACAATTTCTTTGTCTACAAACAATTTGTTTGTCTAAAAACAATTTGTTTGTCTACATGTAGTTTTTTGTTCACCAGTCATCAAATAATTAACAGCTTGATGGTCTGTGGTATAGGGAACTAATGCTGGGACAAGATAAAAAATCAATACATATCTATAAACTATGCTCTCATACAGTAAGTTGAAAAATGTCATTACCATAGCAACTGTTTACATGTTTTGTGTGGAGAGTTGAGTTTTATAAAGTTGGCAGAATTTGATTTGAATATATCATTTTCCATCTAATTAAATGTAAATTTTGAAGTACAAATATTTTTTCAATTAAAGAATAATATGTAGCATTGTTTTGAACAGCTGAACAACAACAATAATAATTATAAAATAGAAAGGCACTTCCACAGTTACTGACCAATAAATATTAGCTTTGTCTAGTCCTCTTCTCAGCTTTATGATGCTTTTGGTGACAACATTATATAGGTGAATGTTTGTACCCTGAAACAATGATGGTGTATCAAAATTAATGGTAAATTGCATAAAAAAAATAGTTTTACATTGTCCTGCTCAAATCTACTAACGTAAAATGTATCTATACTGTATGTGTAGAGTACACACCTGAGTAGAGGCAGTGGCGATGCAGTCACCAGCAGCGTTGATGGCTACACATATTATGTCATTTCCATGGGCCTGGACATTAGCCGGGGGTTTGCTTTGTGATGCTGAATCATCTTTGTCTAAATCCTGTGGGGATAAAAACTCCATGTCAATTTCCAAATTTAAGAAAAAAATTTTTTATTTATAATAGAAATACTTTTTGCTTAGACTAGCATCTAATAGTTTATTTTACTGATTGTACAGAAGATTAAAGCTTTTTACAGTAAAGGTTATACAGCAGTAGTACTGTTCCATAATGATCATTTACCTCAATTTGTATGCTTCCCTTGTTTTTTCTGGATGGAAAAACAATTTTCCTTGCATGGTGTGCAACTGCACACACAGCTTAAAAACAGAAAAAACAACATTGCCAATTTTAAAAATAATTGAATGTTATTTTGGATGACTGAAGTATATAATGATTGGTTGGATAGTTACCATTTGGATTATCTCTGGAATTCAGCTCTGAGAGAGTTTCTCCGCCAGGAAATGACAAGAGAATTACTTTACTTCGGAGTATAACAACCAAACTGTGAACAAAATATTTTTTTATATAGAGCACAGTCTTGTTTAATAAATACAGACAAAATAAGTGACCAGTGTTATTTTTAAACAACTCAAAATATAACCAAACTATACTCACCGGTCATTGGTCAGCTTGACATCCAAAACAGGCTCCTTTAAAACAACTTTGGCAACAGCAGTTTCTGTGTTTAGATCCCACAGCACAACTAGACAACCAAAGTTTTAGAATCAAACTTCACATCTTGTCCCTTGATCAATAATTGAGGCAGATCCATATGACACTGCCTCAGCATTTTGTTTTAAAATAAAAAAATTGGCTGAAGTACTTAACTATTTATTGAACTAAATACCAATGACAGATGAAAGAGTGACAGCGACTGACCTGTTCTGTCGTCATACAGTGGTCTTGATCCACCACTGACAAAAGCCATTATATTGGATCTAAAGCGCATCTCAGCTATACGGATGCTGCCAATCTTGGATGCTTCTAAAAGAAAAAAATACCCAAAAAATTTTAAAATGATTTGATATGAGTATAAGATGAAGAAAACAAAAATTAAACACAATGGGAAATGTGTGAATGACTTTTCAAACTAACGAAATGTTTCACTATTGGTTTATTCCTAAAAATTACAATTTGTAACACCATTTTACACTAGGTAGACATCAATTACTGATAAAAATAACAGAAAAAGGTTGTTGAATATTAAAATACTTACATTTATTCCCCAGACTAACTGAAAGTTTAAGTCTAGTATTATAATTTTTTTGTATGAAAAGAAACAGTGAGTAAGGGGTCAGCTAATAAACAAGTCAAATTATATTTTAAATTTTATCTGGGTACAAATTGTAATTAAAAGGTTGTAAAGTAAAAGTTTCCCTTTCAAACGTGACGGCCTATGGGGCAAGTGAAGTAGAGTTCACTTGTTTCTGTGACCTCGGCATATGAAGAGATAGTGTGGTCAGCACTATGCCCAACCGCCTTTACTTTCCCTAATGTGAGTTAGGTACCCATCAGAGTTGGGTGGACTCAGGGACGGTCTACTGACTTGAACCCGGATTTGAACTCAAGACTTAGGGGTTAGCAGTGCAGCTCTCTACCGCTAGACCACTCCGTCCCTAATTAAAAGGTTGGCAGTATGTTAATTGTGTACACTGAATTGAAAACTGCTCAACTCTTTTACATATCAAAACTTGAGGAATCTGTAAAGTATCAATCTTACTGCTCTATTCACTATGCATCTAATATGAATAAGAATACTCACCAACATAATGTGTCTGGATAAGCGGGTCCATATGAAAGATTCGAAGCCCATCTTCAGTGGCACAAGTAAAGTATTCTGAAGAAAAAAAATTCATTACCAAAGTAACATCTAGGCATAGGTCAACTGCAATCATATTCACACAGTGAGTAGGATCACAATTGTAAAATTAGTTTTATTTAAGAATTATCTTTGTTCCAATCGTGTGACATTAACAAAAAACTGGAACCAAAATCTATCTGGTTTTAAACCAATAAAAACAGTGTGATTATCTACATCACACATCACTACTAATAAGTCTTATTTATAATTAATGCAATGAAGAGCTTTGACCATATAGACAACAGGCCCTACCTTGATCCTGATTCAGCTTGACACTTAACACACCCCGTCTAGCCATAATATGCATTACTGATCTTTCTTTGCAAGCATTTACCTTAAAGAAAAACATACAATGCCCATTACAATAGACTTATCTTACTACACTAGATTTGTTTTAATAAATTCTAGTTAGCCTAAGCTAAAGACTGCTTTAGCTTAGTGATAATTTGATCTAGCCTATTATTTTTAACTTTAGTCTAGTTTCAAAGATAGAGTAGACCAGTCCTGTATTCTTGTCTTAATTGTTACCTGCCATAAACTTACAGATACAGTTGTAGTCACTACTATGCCAAGCCCCCTTTACTTTCCCTGAGTCAGGTACCCATCAGAGCTGGGTGAACTCAGGAACGTCCTATGGGATCGGACCTCAAGACTTTCAAGTAAGCAGTTGAATGCTCTGTGTACTGTGTAGTCATAGTTAGTATCTAGGCCTATAATTCTTGCAAATCGGAAGTAGACTAGGTACAACCACTAAAATGACTAATGGCACTAATGCTAATAATACTATTATATAGCATGACATACTCTTAAACTTAAAGTCTTGTGTCTTAAGTCTTACTCTTAGTAATCACTAAATAAAATCTCCTAGACTACTAGTGTAATGACTCAAAAGTAAAACTTATGGATAGTATTAGTAGCTACTAACTTAGTTAGTTAGGCCTAACAAATAATTGATAATCACTCCTAATCCTAATGAATGACAATGTTGACGAATGTTTTTTTTTTTTAATTATTATTATTATTAGCAATATTAGGCCTATAATTTATTATTGTTAATGAATAGGTATAGGCCTAATGAAACTTAATGTTAGCCGTTTATAACTTTATACTAGCCTAATCCGTTTCTAAGAGCCAAGCAAGAGCAAGTGATTCTTCTTACCAGCTGTTTAGAGGCCTATTCTTTATTTAATAATAAATTATTAGGCTATTAATAATAATATAATAGTAATAGTCTATTACTAATAGATCTAGACTAGATTCTAGATCTAGATCTAGATCTAGATCTAGAATCTAGGCCTAATCTCACTGAATCAGCTGGTCAATTTGACAATTATGAATTATGGTTATGCTGAAGATGTCAATAACTTTTCAATAGTAGATCTCTATCTTAATATTCTTAATATTTACTTAATAACTTAGTTCTTTATTACCTTATTTCAGTCGCTGTACATTAGTGTATGTCTAGTTGGCTTGGGAAAAGTGGGTTAACTGATGTAGTCAACAAAAAGCCAATGTTTACAATCATTTATTGAATGTAGGTCAAATGGAGCAAACTAAAACCACGTTCTACCAAGTATCACCGAGTTGTAAATAACGTATTTCAGAAATAGATAAGTACAATAACTTTAAATAAAAATAAAACACACTTTTACTCAAATCACTTCTTCACAGTACATAGCGATTTATAATAATTTATATATTATCTATTGTAGTCTTATGTTGATGTATGTTTCTTTATTTTGAAAATTAAAATTTTAAGATTATCGTGTTCAACCAGAGTTTCTTCCAGGCATCTCTTCGTGGGGGGGGGGGGGGGGGGGCAAAGCCGCATTTTTTTACCGCCCCCCCTCCCGAACGAAATGAAACTTATATAATTTATATAGAAAATATATACTTTTAACAGTGTCCGCCCCCCCCCCGAAGAAAGTCTACCGCCCCCCCCCCCCCCCGAAAATTTCAAGTGCCTCCCCCCGGAAAAAAAGTCTGGAAGAAACACTGGTGTTCAACAAGCACCTTCTACACTACTGGCTACTAGCAAAACTACATGATACATATTCTATCAATCTCATAATTAATAATATCCACTGACCTATGAGTATAAAGTTGACATGATGTAGAGCAGTGGTGTCGATAACTGAAAAAGTTGGTCCTGCGTTTATAATGGAGAGGTGGGAGGCTACTTTGAATTGATAGATTAGTTACTTGCTACAGACTGCAGTTAGTTTGATTTTGACATCGAAAACCCACATTTGATTGCACGTTAAAGACAGCTACTACAATAATGTAGGATATGGGTAGAAAAAAAATATTAAAAAAATAAATAAACGTGTTCTTAAAATGTTGGGGAAAAAACATTTTCTTTTTTTTTATGGCTTATATAAAGGCCAATCAAACCGTATAGGCCTAATAATAATATGAACCCGATTGAACCCTTCTGCCCTATCCTCGCCGCACATCCTAGAAAATCTTTAAATATTATATTCACCAGAGCAGTTACAATACCAATACATTTATTACTTTAATACTTTTAAAAAGTTAATAATTTACAACGAAAGATTTTTAAAAATCCATTAATGCTTTAAATTTTCGGTACAGGGTTTTCCGTAGCTATTTGCTGTATTAGTTGTTTCGAGATTTCCATTAACCCTTTAAAAGAAAGATGGCAACCTCAAAGGGTGCCAATACATACAATCGCCAAAATTGGGAAGATGCAGTAAGTAGTTGACACCATATTTTGTTTACATTGAAGGGTAACAAATACTGTAATGATTTTGACGGACAGTACTGTTTATTGTTAACGTTCATGTTAAGTCCACACAATTAAAATTGTTATGAAGTATTAACTACTTTTAACCTAACAATTACAAACAAACCAGTTTTCGATAGGCGGATTTAGTGAATTCCAGTGAAAAAATATATTCACTTGACTTAGCCTAAGATCCCTAAGTCGTAAATTATCCTCAGCTTTGTAGATCTAGATCTTAGTACTAGTACTACTACTACTAGTAAGCTTAGTAGATCTAATTATAACTTATATAGCCTACTGAGCTATATGAACTCAAAAAAAACAAAAAAACAACTCGGAATTGAATCAGTTTTTCTTTGGCTTCTCTTTACTAGATCTAGATCTAGAGTCTAGATCTCTAGTGCAAGTAAAAGAACTATTTTTAGGACTATTGGTTGATTTTAAAAAAATGTTTTTGGTAGCTTAGCCTACTATTTTAAACAATCAGTTTCACTTTCATCAAGTAGGCCACTTAGTAGTTCTGGAAAATCTAGAATCTAAGTGCTTTTTTAAATTGTCTGATTTTTTAATTACACTATTTCTTCTTATAGTATGGATTATAGGCCTAACTGTCGCATAACATTTCTTTGCTATCATTGTTGCCAGTAGTCAATTGAATTGTAATATATATTGTATTCTCACCTAAATCAGATTTAGTTTAGTTTAGACTTTAGAGATTTAAAAAATGGCATCCACATTGATTTATACCAGAGTCTGAGTCAAGAAGTAGATTACTGACCTCTACTCGCAAATAAAACTTATGCTTTGATAAAACTAAATAGTCAGGACAGCTCAGTCTTGTATTACAAGATATGGTTTGATCTTAAAATATTTCTTTTATTTGAAAAATTTCAGGAATTCCCTATTTTGTGTCAAACATGTTTGGGAGACAATCCATATATTCGAATGGTAAGTAGCGACAATTTCCTCACTTGAAACTCATTTAAAAATTGACCATATAGTGGGAGAAGTGGGAAAAGAGTTGTAAATATTTTTGTTGGCTATTTTTATATTTATTGTAATAGAAAGTTAATTTTTTTAAAAATATCTCAACTTAAAATGCTTTAATGATATATCTGCTATTTGCCAGATGAAGGAGAAATATGGGAAAGAATGCAAAATTTGTGCTCGTCCATTTACTGTATTCAAGTGGTGCCCAGGTGCCAGGATGAGGTTCAAGAAAACAGAAGTCTGTCAAACATGCAGCAAAATGAAAAATGTTTGCCAGACTTGCCTGCTTGATTTAGAATATGGTAAGTTGGTCTTTTCATGCTTGTTGCATTTTGTTGTGATGGTCATTTAGCAGCGTTACCTACTAGTGTGTCTAAATTTCCCAAAGGTTAATTGTTTTTAAAAATATGTCTTTGTAGGACTTCCTGTACAGGTTCGAGATGCTGCTCTTAAACTTCAAGATTCTCTGCCTAAATCTGACGTCAATAAAGAGTATTATACTCAAAATATGGAGAAAGAGGTACATAGTTGAAAGATTTATTTAGTTAATTTGACAATTGGGTCTCAAAAATTGCTTAGGTCTTTTTTCCTAAATTAATACTTTACACTAATACTTGCATTCCTTTATCAGATAGCAAACAGTGATGGAATTTCTCCAGTCGGGGCCCTTGCTGGAAAAGCCCAGACACCAAGTGATATGCTTTTAAAATTAGCCAGAACAACACCATATTACACCAGGAACCGGCCTCACATTTGCTCATTTTGGGTGAAAGGAGAATGTCGCAGAGGTCAAGAATGTCCCTATAGGTACAATTCATTAAGCTAGTTATCATCTAAATTAATAACTTCAATTCTTAAATTAGTTATTTGTTTGATTATTAGTAAAATATCAGCTTGAATGTATACTGTTATAGCCTTAGTGTGTTTGAATTAAATTCCTCTGACCATCTCTCTAAAGGCACGAAAAACCGACAGATCCTGATGACCCTCTGGCGGATCAAAACATCAAAGACAGATTTTACGGCATGAATGACCCAGTGGCCAACAAGCTGATGAATCGTTACAGCAGTCTGCCAAAGCTGGAACCCCCTGAAGACAGATCTGTCACCACCTTGTATGTGGGCAACTTGGGGGACAAGGTTGGGGAAAAAGAACTAAGGTGAGCAAAAATACAAGTGTTTTAGAAGGGATTACTTATGTCTATATTTTTCAAACATCACAATTGTACTTAATTATCTTCCTGTATTGCTTAATTAACCATGTCTATATTTAAAATCTTACCTTAAAAATATTTAAGCCAAAAAAAGCAAGTTGTAAACTTTTTTCAAACTCAGAATCTTTTGAATTGAAATATTTAACACAGTCCGCCTTAAAATGTAATACTGAATAAATTTAGCATTTCTATCAACTTCCAATGGTTTATATCCCACAACATTTTTAAAAATGTTGACAACCCAAGCAAAAAACTAACATGAATACCTTGCGTATTTAGATAATCCAAATCTTTTATTTAAATACCAGTGCCAATATTATTTGCACAGCTTAACTGGATAACTTTTTATCCCCAGGGATTACTTCTACCAGTTTGGTGAGATTAGGTCCATCAACGTGGCCAAACAGCAATGTGCATTTGTCCAGTTCACATCCAGGATTGCTGCGGAAACTGCAGCTGAAAAAGCTTTTAATAAACTGATACTGAATGGTCGCAGACTTAATATAAAATGGGGCAGGTCACAAGGTCAGCCGGCCATGAAGAAAGAAGAGGCACCAGCTCAATCTTCACTAGAGCCAGTCCCTGGGTTGCCTCAAGGTAAATAGCTGTCACTGCATTACATAGTTTATTAACACAAAATCATGGCATGCTGTTGTTTTACATTAAATTAACTCATAATTATAGCAATCTGTTGTTTTAAATACTTGTTTTATTTCTCTTAATATTATTTTGACAATTTAGGCTGAAACTATTTACTTTTAACTCGCTGACCTATGCCTATTTTCTTGATTATTTCTTATTAATGTAAAGCATATTGTGTGAAATTACTTGTCTTTAAACTGTAATTAACCACTACGACATAATTTCTTCATCATTCAGCTCTCCCAATGCCTCCTGAGGAGTTGACCAACAACTATTTTAACTTGGGTGGACCTGGTGGTATGCCTCAGTTCAGAATGCAGCAGGGACCAATGAGAGGGGGGCCCAGGGGGTTCCCCCCCATGTTGAGGCCCCCGCCAATGCCATTTGGTGCAATGCCACGACTTCCTCCACCACCAGGTTGGTACTACGCAACAGTTGCATGAAATATGTATAATAGAAATGACATGTTTCAATGTGAAATAAATTTATAAGTTAACTGATTTGCTGTCTCAACAGTTCAAATAAATTAAGGTAGACATGCATTTAAAATCAATTTTTAAAAAATGTTATTATTCATCAAATAAATAATAAAATTCACAAAAGCATACTTGATAAAATTAAAAAATATTTAGCTCAATAAAATATGTTTGTTGGTATGTTTGATAGTAGTATTTAGTAATTAGGGTTAGAAGTGCAATTAAATTAAATATTAAGTATTTTGAATTTGTTGTTTAATCAGTTAATAAGAAAATGTTTAAAGGTGACTTTGTGTATATTTTAGTTTTAGAGTTTATTCATAGGGGACCATAAAGGCAAGGGTTGGGTTCTCTAGTATTAAATGCCATCTGTGCAAACATTATCTCTATCAATGGATACCTTTGTGTTGCAGGTATGAGACTACCTCCCCCACCCCCTGGAGTGTTACCTGTAAGACCACCTCCAGGTGTGCCCCCTAGCCAGCCTGGACAGAACTCCCCACCAGATCAACCTCCGCGAGGTCTTGCACCTGTACACTATCCCTCCCAAGACCCTACCAGAATGGGAGCTGTAAAAACCCCAGCTGCCACAAGCTGAAGCAGGCTGACAGCTGTAGTTGTACATAGTTGAATGTTTCAATGTAACTTGTCAACTGTTGAACGTTGTTAGTTTTAAAAAATTAATTGCTCTGCTAAAAATGACTGGATGAGTGGAGTAGGAATATACTAGTTATGCATTTAATTTCTTTTATGACCTATTAGTTCTGAACTTGACAAGTATTTCTTGGGTTATATTTAGGTCTGATACCAAGCTTCATCAAATAATATTTGCCCCAAAGTTCTTTGTATAGGTGAACAAGAAATGTGTGGTTGACATTTTGTGTCTTTAAATGCACATTAAAAAGCTAAGTCCTGATTTAAAATACGACAATGCACAAGGTATCTTTTATTCAGGAAAAGCACCAAGGTTAAATTTGATTAATTTGATCTAAATGATTATAACCATGGTTGTTCATTAAATTGCTGAAATATTCCACTCTCTGATTAGTCAATTTTGTTTGTAACTTTTTAATTATCTATAGTTTGGTAATCTGTCAATGAAAGAACATTTTAAATAAGATTTTAAAAAATGGATTTGATAAAACTGGATTTTTGTTCTTGTTAAATTATTCTGTAAGTTGAAGTTATTTTACTTTTAAGATACTTAATTTAATACTGCTGAGTTATCCATTTCAAATTGTTCACAAATCATCAAGTCTAGAAATGTGAAGAAATCTGACATTAGCTAATATGGATATCAGCAGACTATGCCTTTTTAGATAGATTTTGTTTCAAATAGTTAACAAAAGGTAACATAAAAACATGACTAGGAGACTTTGACTTGTATGTCATAAAGACTGAAATACCTTGTGGATAACCATATCATTTAGAATGAATGTGGTATGTCATGTCATGAAATCCAAAGTTGAAATATTTAATAAGTTAATTTTACAGCAGCTGTAAACACCGTACATTAAGATCCAAGCTTGTTTCTGACTAGACTTATATGAGAAATTGTTTACGTTTTACACATGCATTCACTGCCTCTAATGCTGTACACATATTGGCTTTAATGGCCTACATTTTTCACCTGGTAAGACATGATAAAAGAACACAGTTTGTTGTGTCATAATACAGACATATATCATTTAGTAAATGGAGTAAATGTGGACTTTAAAGTACCAGTAAAAATTATTTACATTACATGTAGGACAGTGTGATGCGTTACACAGTTTTACCTGGTAGTCTGTGTTGAAGCATCCCATATCTGTGGATGTTCTTTCCATGGCACCATATATGAATTCACTATCCATGGATATCCATAAATTTCCATTCTATAGATGGCTTATAGTTGTTCAATCTGTGTGTCCTATAATGATCTCACATCTACTACAGTTTACATGGTGATCTGTACCCACACGAGAGTAACGTTCTTATGCAGTCCTTTTATTACAGTTTTTAAATATAAGTTAAATAAAAAGGCAAGACACAAGAAATTTGATTAATTCGATTTTTTTTATGAAGATGTGGTTTTACTCGTTATCATTGATATTGCATGGTTACTGATAAAAATTCTACTATTTATTTACATTACCTTACATGATATTTTGCAAAATTATTTTCAATGGACATACATCCACATGCGCTAATCAATAAATTAAGGTTCAGATATATACACGCATGTAAAAATATATATGGCTATAATAAATACATAAGTATATTTAATAAATATAAATGCATGTTCACGAAAATATATCCATCCATTGATATACACAAGCACATATATAAAAATGTCATTTCTAATGTTAACAAGCTGTGACTGTGATAGAACGAAACTCAAGAATAAAATGTCACCCACTGCTATAGAACTGAACTGTTTCGAACTGAACACATCGAAAAGACCAGATTACAATGAAATGTCACATTATAGAAGAACATTTTTCTTCTGCTTTGTACTGCAGAAATGAAAGCATGGTTATCTTTTTATTTTTAAAACTAGATTCAAAAGATTTGATTCTAGTAAGAAAGTTTCCTCTTTAAAGTTTGTTTCAAGGCAAAGAACTCTTCCTCCCACGACCGTCTCGAGAGCTTGTGGGACCGAGACGTTGGTGTCTGACTCTGTTGACTGCCCATCACGCCCGGCATCAGTCTAGCACTGTCTGTCTGTGGTCTGTCAAATCTCTGCAGGGTACCTGTCTCACCGGTAAAGTACTGACAGGAAGACTGCAGGCATTTCTCTGAGTACCTGGAGTTCAGGTAGTCGACTAGTCCACTACACCTGGTTGGGGAGGGGGGATTTCTTCGTCATTCACAAATAATTAATTGTTACCCACTAAGGCTGGTAAGTAGGTCACCAACCAGTTCTACGGCTCAATAAAACCTGCATGAGCCATAGAACTGGTTGGTACTTACGAGCCATATTACAAAAAAAATAATTTAAAACAACTAAAATATAGACAAAAAAGACAAAACAATAAATATTATCAGATATAACTATCGAGCAAAATATTTTAATACTAAAATAAAATCGCAGGTCTTCTAACAGGCTATACATTAAAATAAAAGCAGCAAAAGAAATAAAGGCTAGAATAGATAGAGAATAAGAAAGAAAAAAAAAGCTCTTTACACGTGTAATATGGAGCATGGCTTACCTCTCGTGCTTACATGGGCCGAAGTAAGCGTCCAAAAACTGCTGGACAACTTCCATACATTCTGTGTACCCGTCATAGAAGGCATTGGCGAAGTCTAAAAAATAAAATTTAGTAAATCAACCAATTTTAACTATCGATTCGTTATTTTTGAAACCTTTTTGTCTTAAGATAATGGGAAAACTGTTTTTTCTGTTTAGTCTAGACACAAGGCGTTCAATACTTTAGCTGTGCTAGTATTGGAACACTAATATTCTAGTAAATCAGATGAAAATTAACATGTAAAGTAAAACACACGTTATACGCACATGTGCGTGAATTAGAAACAAAATGGCGGTCTTTGATATTCTCAAAACGGCTGGGCATTCAGCTTACGTGTCCATCTACCGCCCCACCCCTAGCGTTATTAGTAACAATATGTTATAATTATATAAGTAAACACGTGATACCAATTTACGGCCATGTTTCGCGTAATTTTTCAGGTGCTTAATGTTTTCTGTACAATACAGGAATTTATTAGAGTGACGGCTTCATCTAGTTAGAGGCCCTATAGAGACTAGACTGCACACGCATTTGACCGCCTCTGGTTTACGTATTCTTATGAGTACAATCAAGATACGTTACAGTCTTTTTAAATAATTCATTTGTAGCTTAAGGTTGGAAAGATTATTTTTTCTTAAGAAAAAAAAAATTTGATAGAATTTGTTTTTATAAAACACGTTATCACTTTCTACATTTATTTCTTTGTATTTAAAAAAAGTTCGCTTTTTAAATTAATTTTAAGATTTTTCTTGTGCAGATTTGCAACTGGATGTAATTGGGTTGTGAGAAGGGGAAGACACTCTGGGATTTCACGCGCTGCCATTATATCACGTGACGCGAGACTCGGCGTGATTACCACGTGATCTCAACTCCTGGGAACCGCCGTTCAGGTCACGGTCTCATTCACACGAGCACGTGACTTCCTAGTGTCGTAATGAGTAGCGCGCGACCGGACTGACGCGGCCCGGCGTTCTGCACGTGCCAGACCCACGGTTGCCTGCCCCTTACATGTGCCCATAATGCACCGGCACGCGGTGCGGGCGGAAGTGCCTTTGTCTTCCCGAGCAGGCTACACTCCATTTTTATCAAGTTTTTTTTTCTACCCCTGTGACCAACGGGTAGACCTTTTGTGTGGGGATTTCTCACACTAAGTGCTGTAACACACAATAAGTGTGGCAGTACCACACATTAAGTGAGGGGGCACCACACACTAGATGAAGCAGCACCAGTGTTTCTTCCAGACTTTTTTCTCCGGGGGGGGGGGGGGGGGCACTTGAAATTTTCGGGGGGCGGTAGACTTTCTTGGGGGGGGGGGGGGCGGACACTGTTAAGAGAATATATTTTCTATATAATTTTCATTTCGTTCCGGGGGCGGTAGACTTTCTTCGCCCCCCCCCCCCCGAAGAGATGCCTGGAAGAAACTCTGAGCAGCACCACACACAATTTGTGGCAGTACCACACACAATTTGTGGCAGCACCACACACAATTTGTGGCAGCACCACACACAATTTGTGGCAGCACCACACACAATTTGTGGCAGCACCACACACAATTTGTGGCAGCACCACACACAATTTGTGGCAGCACCACACACAATTTGTGGCAGCACCACACACAATTTGTGGCAGCACCACACACAATTTGTGGCAGCACCACACACAATTTGTGGCAGCACCACACACAATTTGTGGCAGCACCACACACAATTTGTGGCAGCACCACACACAATTTGTGGCAGCACCACACACAATTTGTGGCAGCACCACACACAATTTGTGGCAGCACCACACACAATTTGTGGCAGTACCACACACAATTTGTGGCAGCACCACACACAATTTGTGGCAGTACCACACACAATTTGTGGCAGCACCACACACAATTTGTGGCAGTAAAACACACAATTTGTGGCAGCACCACACACAATTTGTGGCAGCACCACACACAATTTGTGGCAGCACCACAGACAATTTGTGGCAGTACCACACACAATTTGTGGCAGCACCACACACAATTTGTGGCAGCACCACACATAATTTGTGGCAGTACCACACACAATTTGTGGCAGCACCACACACAATTTGTGGCAGCACCACACACAATTTGTGGCAGCACCACACACAATTTGTGGCAGCACCACACACAATTTGTGGCAGCACCACACACAATTTGTGGCAGCACCACACACAATTTGTGGCAGTACCACACACAATTTGTGGCAGCACCACACACAATTTGTGGCAGTACCACACACAATTTGTGGCAGCACCACACACAATTTGTGGCAGTACCACACACAATTTGTGGCAGCACCACACACAATTTGTGGCAGTACCACACACAATTTGTGGCAGCACCACACACAATTTGTGGCAGTACCACACACAATTTGTGGCAGCACCACACACAATTTGTGGCAGCACCACACACAAAGTTAGGCAACACAACACTTTCTGTCACAGCACCACACACTTGGTGTGGTAGTACCACACATCAACATCAGCACCCCCCCCCCCCTTTATATCAACACCCGACACCTCAACACACGGTAAACCCCAGCCTCACAATGTGCATGTCTCACCTCTATTGACGGTCTGACTCTCAGCTCGCTTCGCCTCTAGCGCCCTCAGGTACAAGACAGTGGTCTCTAGAATCTCTGCCTTCTCGAGCTTTCCAGGTGCCTAAGTGACCAGTAGAGAGAAACACGTGACCCATGACAGGTGTACAACACGAGAGAAGGGGGGGGGGCAGAATTGTATGTGACACAAAATATTCATGACATCCACATGTGAATACATAGGTGTTGTAACACTAAGAGTAAAAGTTAACTGTGCAAATTACGTTAAAACTTAGATGACTACAAACCTTTCTGGAGAACTCAACAAGCACTGAGCGAGAGAGGTCCACAAGACATTGGTTGATTCGGTCCCTGCGGTGTTTCTCTACTCGTCTGTGTGAGCACTGTGGCAGTAAGGAGAGAACATTAGTGAGACTAGTGAAATATTGAGGAGAGGACATTAGTGAGACTATTGAAATATTGAGGAGAGAACATTAGTGAGACTAGTGAAATATTGAGGAGACAACATTAGTGAGACCATTGAAATATTGAGGAGAGAACATTAGTGAGACTATCGAAATATTGAGGAGAGAACATCAATGAGACTATTGAAATATTAAAGAGAGAACATTAGTGAGACTATTGGAATGTTGAGACAAAATTGGTGAGACTATTTAAATTTTGAGGAAACAATATTAGTGAGACGATTTAAATACTGAGGAGACAAGATTAGTGATACTAGTTAAATAATGAGACAAGATTAGTGAGACTTTAAATATTTAGGAGACAACATTAGTGAGACTTGTTTAATATTGTGATGTGAAGGTGTGGGGAGAAGACAGTGAATTATATCATTTACTTATATGTCAAATTTCGTCTATCTATCTGAAACAATACTCGAGTTATAGGCTTTTGAAAAACCAATCGTAGAATAAGTTACCGGTTACCGGAAATCGCTGAAAAGTTGACTTAGAACTACAAATTTGATATAATACTTATATATGAAAGCTCATCAATCTAACTGTAACGGTACTCAAGTTATCATGTTCACAGACACACACGCACATAAACATAAAATACACATACACATACATACGGACAAAATTGTAAAACTGTTTTCCAGTCGGAATTCGTGAAAATCTCTCTTTCGATTTTTGCACGACCACAATACTTCCTCTATACTTCGTATACGAGAAAGTACAAATGTAGTGAAAAGACTGTGATGACACAGATTTAAAAGGTTTAGTGAAATCACCGGATTAGTGAGCACAAGTCTTAATCCTTATGAGAATATGATAAAGCTTTGTTTATTATTAACTTTTTTTAAAAAGAAGTCACCTTTTAGGTCTGCCCACAATTAGTCATTCTTAAGTTTCAAAAATCTGTTACGGAAATGTATCGCTTCATTTTAAATTAACATTTCACGCAAACTTAAAAATTAATTAATGGTATAATTTCGTTTTAATTAATGGTATAGTTTTTTTTTCATCATTCATGAAACTGTATTTAAGCCTAATGTTTCCTATTTCATTTCCAGTATAGCCTACTCGTTGAAATTGCTTAGTTACAAACTGTTATCTAGTCCTACACACCTCTTTAGAATTCTAGTTTTATGCAGACATGTGTAATTGTTTTTTTATTTTTTAACAAAAAAAAGTAAACAAATATGACAAAAAAGTCTCACCTCTAAGTATTTTTCATCCATGTCTAAGAATTCTGTAAAACAGCTTCAAATATGTAACATAGATATAAAAATAAATTAAAAACAAATTTTTCTGTCTCAGACTTCAGATTCCAGTTGTATTTCCCGTCACACACCACTCCAGCACACACTAGCACCCAACTCTCGTCCACCACATGCGTTCCTGCGGCTCGTTCTATCGGGGTTACCCGTTGGTTTAGCGCGTCACGTGACCGCGCTATTCAGCACTTGTGACGTGATTATCATGGCGGCGCTCGATGCAATAATTTATGCTGGCGCTAATCAATGCTTTCTGCTCTCCACCCACTTAAATACCACGTGAACTTCGGCGCTTTTCTTTTTTTCAATTTTAATTCAACTTTGCTTAATTATCAGTTAAAAAAAAACGTTGATTGGAACAAATAATTAAAAATCCCTAGATGAAAATCTTTTATCTTCAATCCGTGGTTTAGGTTTGGCCTGCATAGTTAAGTAAATAATTAACAGACATGGCTTAAACTTTAAACACACAACAAACAACCCGCAGGTTTATCCAGGCTAAAATGTAATTGACATGAACAATTAGGATGATTTTAGCTTTGCAAATTGCTTTTACACATTTAACATGGGCTGTATTATATTTTGTACATTTAGTTTCAGAGTTTCTGTACATACATTAAAATTAGGCTGAATTGTTTTTTTAAATATATATACAGGTTTTAAAAGCATTCTTAAAGAACAGGTTTAGAAAATTAGAACATTCATTTAAATTCTTTAAGTTCTATGACATGGGGTTTGAAACATATATTTGGAAGTTAAAATAAAAATTAAATAGAAATATATTTTGTTGGTGAACTTAATTTAAACAAACTTTTAATCCGATTCACGTTAAAATTTAGTTTCTTATTTAAACTGTGGAAGACTTTTCAAAATTTGCATTGAAGAATTTGCATAATAGTTTAAAGTTTACGAAACTGTACAAGAAATAATTTTAAAGAATAAATAAAAGAACAATAGTGTGAACTTTTGAGCCATGTGTTGATAAAAACCAGATCCAACCGAACCAATTGGCACAATTTTCGTGGGTTGAAAAATCTGGCCAGTGCTATCCAACACTTGTGCCAGGCATTATTTATTCATCAGCTGGGGCGAGGCTACAAGTTGCCGGAGTGGGAATAAAACGCCATCAACGTGCGGTGAACGACGTCATGGATGCTGAGTCATTCTAGTCGTCTGCTAAATGCTGGTGTTGTGTCCTCCAAATGTTAGTGTTGTGTCCTCAGTCGTCTGCTAGATGTTGGTGTTGTGTCCTCAGTCGTCTGCTAAATGTTGGTGTTGTGTCCTCAGTCGTCTGCTAAATGTTGGTGTTGTGTCCTCAGTCGTCTGCTAAATGTCGGTGTTGTGTCCTTCAGTCGTCTGCTAAATGTTGGTGTTGTGTCCTCCAAATGTTGGTATTGTGTCCTTCAGTCGTCTGCTAAATGTTGGTGTTGTGTCCTAAGTCGTCTGCTAAATATTGGTGTTGTGTCCTCCAAATGTTGGTGTTGTGTCCTAAGTCGTCTGCTAAATGTTGGTGTTGTGTCCTCCAAATGTTGATGTTGTGTCCTCCAAATGTTGGTGTTGTGTCCTCCAAATGTTGGTGTTGTGTCCTTTAGTCGTCTGCTAAATGTTGGTGTTGTGTCCTCCAAATGTTGGTGTTGTGTCCTCCAAATGTTGGCGTTGTGTCCTCCAAATGTTGGTGTTAATTCCTCAGTCGTCTGCTAAATGTTGGTGTTGTGTCCTCCAAATGTTGGTGTTGTGTCCTAAGTCGTCTGCTAAATGTTGGTGTTGTGTCCTCCAAATGTTGATGTTGTGTCCTCCAAATGTTGGTGTTGTGTCCTCCAAATGTTGGTGTTGTGTCCTTTAGTCGTCTGCTAAATGTTGGTGTTGTGTCCTCCAAATGTTGGTGTTGTGTCCTCCAAATGTTGGCGTTGTGTCCTCCAAATGTTGGTGTTGTGTCCTTCAAATGTTGGTGTTGTGTCCTTCAAATGTTGGTGTTGTGTTCTCCAAATGTTGGTGTTGTGTCCTTTAGTCGTCTGCTAAATGTTGGTGTTGTGTCCTTCAAATGTTGGTGTTGTGTCCTTCAAATGTTGGTGTTGTGTCCTCCAAATGTTGGTGTTGTGTCCTTTAGTCGTCTGCTAAATTTTGGTGTTGTGTCCTTCAAATGTTGATGTTGTGTCCTCCGAATGTTGGTGTTGTGTCCTCCAAATGTTGGCGTTAATTCCTCAGTCGTCTGCTAAATGTTGGTGTTGTGTCCTCCAAATGTTGGTGTTGTGTCATTCAGTCGTCTGCTAAACTAGGCATGCTGCCCAGCTTTGCTTAGGCTTTCGAAAACATTGAGAATTTGAATGCTTAATTAATTCGCCCGAGGGTCGGTCTACGACCTCAAGAGTTATGAAGAGGTTCCTCCGTGGACATTTTTTTTCGATTTATAAGGCGCTCATATAAGGCGCCGGTCAGTCGAGGTCAGTTTTGACCCCATCATCGTAGACTTTTCGGCCAACCGGCCCCCGTGTTCTGTCGCCCCAAGGCAAGATCCTGCCAAATTTGAAGCGCCTGCGGCGCCGGGAAGTGCCCTATCGGGCACCCGACAACTTTGCTTTATATATTATAGAGATTAGCAAATTGCATAGATAAACAAAGATTTCAATAAAGTAATTAAGGCCTGAAATACTTTAGTATAGAAATGTATTATTTGAATAGATGAATCTAGAATCTCTAGATCTAGAATCCAAATACATAAAATAAATTTTATGAGTTTAGGCCGGAAAAATTGTATTGTATACATTTCATAGTGTACGTAGATCTAAATCAAATTTGAATGAAATAGTTCATTTCTTTTCATTCTAAACACGGCAGATGACGTCATTAGTTAATGTATAAGCAATAGTGACGTCACAGTTTTATGCGTTCTTTTTCACATATATTAATGCTTTTCCGGTTGCATAAATAATACTGTTTCTCTATATTCGAATACGCCTTTATTTTTTATTTTTCTTCTTTAAATAAAATTGTGGTTATACATTTAAAACATCTAACATATTATTTTCAACAAAAGTCCGTAAAAAGTTCTCGATTTATCGCTGCCGATTCTGACGTGATGTCCGGCGAAAATTTTTTGCGGACAGAGAAAGAGAGAGAGAGAGAGATGTGCGAACGTGGGGATTTATATATTAGGATAGACATGAGAGGGGGAGGTGGGTAGTGTTGAAGGTCACGATTCCCGTACACGTCAGTCGCTATTCTATAGCGTCATCACATTAAAATCCATTCTACTCTCTAAATTCGTAACATACATCGTCTGCAGTGGGTTTTAAAAGCAGGAACCAATGCACGTGACAGGAAGTGTTGACGGGTAAAATTTCACGGGGTTAAAACTTTTTGATACACCGTACACGAACAAGATCGATGACGTGAATGCAGGAGTTATGTCCCCGCTGTGAACACAAAAACAATTTTAAGCAAAATTCTACACATTTTGATAAAGCATAATACTTAAAGCATAGTTAATCTAAATCATTTTTTTTTCATAACAGTTTTCTAAAATTACTTCTTTCAATAGAAGATTCATAATATTAATACAATTTTATAAAAATATATTATACACTTTTTGCTATCTCCACTAGATAGCCTAACATCGCAGGCACTAAAAATATAGAAATGCCCATTGCAACAGTGAAAAGAAAACATCGCCGAACAAAACAAGATGGTGACTGGAATTCTGACAGACACAGCAAAAAAAAAACTAGAAAAAAAAACTGTAGAAAGCAGGTAGGAACAGAGTTTCTTCCAGGCATCTCTTCGTGGGGGGGGGGGGGGGGGGGGGGGGGAAGGGGGGCACCGCCCCAGAGTTTCTTCCAGGCATCTCTTCAAAGCCCCCCCCCCCCCGTAAATTTTTTACCGCCCCCCGAACCAAATGAAATTTATATAATTTATATAGAAAATATATACTTTTAACAGTGTCCGCCCCCCCCCCAGAAGAAAGTTTACCGCCCCCCCCCCCCGAAAATTTCAAGTGCCCCCCCCCCCGTAGAAAAAAGTCTGGAAGAATCACTGCACCGCCCCCCCCCCCCCCCGAAGAAAGTCTACCGCCCCCCCCCCCCCCGAACGAAACGGAATTTATATAGAAAATATATACTTTTGACAGTGTCCGCCATCCCGGAAATTGTTGTCCCCCCCCCCCCCCCCCCACCCCGAAAATTTCAAGTGCACCGGAGAAAAAAGTCTGGAAGAAACACTGGGTAGGAATGGCCCAGGACAGAGAAAGATCTAGTATGACGTACATTACTTGCCGGGGTGAAGGACGGTAATGTTGGTGCTAATTATTCTTTCAATCACGGTCACATTTTACCAATTTTAAAAATAAAAGCGTCCGTTAACACGCTCTCGACATTGATAATTTATTTGTGATTTCAATTATTGTTATTTTTTTTATATTCAAGTTACGAACACGAAACTAGTTAAATTATTTTTTTAAATTTACACAATACAAAAAGTGTTGATTATGTCCCTTATACGCGTGACGTATGGTTCTGTTTGTTGGGCTCGGAGTGTTAATTAATTTAGCGTAATGCCCCGAAGCGTTAGATAATTACTCAGCAATGATCATGACAGTTAGATAACCCCATCCGTCACGGTGACCAGAGTCATCGTACCAGTGTCCGGATCTCTTCTTGCTATCCGTGTCTCTGTGCCTGTCCATGTTTTTCCATGTTTGTCCGTGTCTCTCCGTGTCTAGCCGTGTTTGTCCACGTCTCGCCTTGTCTCTACGTGTATCTCCGTGTTTGTCCGTGTTTGTCCGTGTCTCTACAATTCTGTTCGTGTCTGTCCGTGTCTCTCCGTGTCTCTCCTTGACGACCTACCTTGATATCCCTACGAGACACCATCTTCCATGGTGAACAAAATACCAGCACATATAAAAACTTACATACCAAGTTTACAAACGCACGAAACTATCTACATAAAACATTTCTGTCCTTAGTAAAAGCATTATCTTGTAAAATCCTATAAAGGGTTTATGAATCATAATCTAATTACATTTATAACATGAATTGTATAAACACGAAGTTAT